ACCAGCTGCTCTGAGAAAGAAAGATGAAGCTGTCTGCTCCCACAAAAATTTACAGTCTCACAAATCCTATAGAGGGTCACTATGAGTCAGAATTGACTCAATGACAGTGGAGTTTTAAAAAATGATTTTTAGTCTGAATCATAGGCTAGCTTCATGAAAAGAGAGAAAATTAAGACTTCTGCTTTTGAAATACTAATGGTTGTTATCTGTTCTAGCTAAAGCAAGGAAGGAATGAAGGGCAGCTTTGTGAAAGCTAACCTTTTGCTTCAGATTTTGTATTTTATTTCTATAAGAAAAGAAAAATCAAAAGAGAGAGTTAATAAGGTGTTTACCATGCAGGCAAGTTGAGGAGATGCACAATATTGTAGCTTTAAGAAGAACTAATTGGGTTTCTCTGATATTTTGTGAATTCTCAGGACTTGACACATTTAAAATACATATATTTGAAAATCAGTATAATTATGGTGACTTGTTACCTAGGCCCTAATTTGGCATTGGAGATAAAACTTACCTCACTCTCCAGTCACTCCTCAAACATCAACATAGAAAATTGAGAAATGATTAAATATCTGTACTGACACTCTTTCTACTACTTGGAATACACGTGGGGTAAACTTGTCCCACCATATACTGTGCATTTATTTCTTGAATTTATGTGTTGACAATGCATGAAATAAAATATTTCAGATCCTTCAGAAAAGCTTTACAGTCTAACCTCAGAAGAGATACCACCCTTCAGCAGCCATTCACCGAGTATGAGTGAGACAACCACAACTTTCCTGAAGACTTCATACTTAAGGAAATCCTGTGGCATTGAGGAACAATGGTAGGTGAAGCTTGCTTCTTAGATGTCAAAAAAAAAGAAAGAGTGCACAGGAAATATTTCAGAAGCCATTTAGTTACCTCTACATTGTTGTTAAGTGCCATCGAGTCGGTTCCGACCCATAGCGATCCTGTATAGGGTTTCCAAGGAGCAGCTGGTGAGCTTGAACTGCCAACCTTCCATTTGAATCGGCTTTGCAGTCTGGAGCATTAACCCACAGCGCCACACCAGGACTCCTAGAGTATGTTGTTGTTAAGTGCTGTCGACCATAGCAACCCTGTACAGGGTTTCCGAGGCTGTAAATCTTTACATGAGCAAACTGCCTCATCTTTCTCCCGCAGAATAGGTCTTCGTTATCTAGTGCATCCTGCTATAACAGAAATCTCACAAGATGGTGTTTTAAACAAATCTGAATTTATTTTCTCATGGTTTCGGAGGCAAGAAGTGTTAATTTGGTGTGACAGGTCTAGGGGAAAGCTTTTCTTTCCCTCTCTGTCTGTTCCAAAGTATATCCTACTCTTTTTGAACTTCTGCTCCAAGGGGCCACCACTTATTTGTCTGTCAGCTTGTCCATAATGTGGTGGCTTGCATGTTGCTCTGATGCTGTAAGGTAAGCCACCACCATTTTAAATATCAGTAGGCTCACCATCGATACTCATGGAAGAAGCAGTCAAGAAATCAAATGACATATTGCAAATCTATTGAACAAGACCTCTTTAAAGTGCTCAAGAGCAAAGATGTCACTTTGAGAACCACAGTGCATCTGACCCAAGCCTCATATATATGTGAAAATTGGACAATTAATAAGGAATACCATAGAATAATTGAGGCATTTGGGTTGTATAGTTGGAGAAGACTATTAAAAATACCATGGACTTTCAGAAGAACCAACAAATCTATGTTGGAAGAAGTATAACCAGAATGCTCCTTGGAATCTAAGATGGCCAGACTTCATCTCTCATACTTCAGACATGTTATCAGGAGGGATCAGTCCCTGGAGAAGGGTATCATGTTTGGTAAAGTGGAAGGTCAACAAAAAAGTGAGAGAGACCCCCAAAGAGATGGAATGGCACATGGCTGCAGCAATGGGCTCAAGTGTAACAATTTGCGTGGGACCAGGCAGTGTTTTGTTTTGTTGTGCATAAGGTTGCTATGAGTTGGAACTGACTTGATGGTACCTTACAACAACAACAGTGTCACCCATGAAGGATGGGTTTCAAAAGAGACTGCATTCTAGGAAAGGCTAGAAGGAGAGGCAAGTGCATTTGAATGGTAAGTCACTAAAGTCTTATGAATAGCAAAAGAACATTGTTCGATATAGTGCTGTAAGTGGAAAACATGATGAATAGCGGCTAAGCATTGTCAGATAATAATAAACATGGTCAGATGAGCACTTCAGGTTGAAAGGCACTTATAATATGACTGAGGAAGCCCTACCTCCTCGAAGTAAAGTTGACCATAATGATGCAAATGGATCAAAGTTTCTGGGCCTTCATTTGCTAGTGGAACACAACTCAAAATTAGAAGAAACCACTGTAAACATCCAGTAGTAATCAGAACAGAATATATATGAAATATGAATTTGGTAAAATTGAAAGTTGTCAAAAATGAAATGTGATGAATAGAGATAGATATCATAGGCATTAATGAGCTAAAATAGACTGTTATTGACCATTTGAAATTAGACAATCATATAATTTAATATACCAGTAACAGTAAATTGAAGAGGAATGGCATTGCTTCATTATCAAAAAGAACATTTCAAGATCTACCTTAAAGTATAATTCTGTCTGTTGCACAATGCATAATATCCATATGTTTACAGGGAATACCATTATATGACATTATTATTCAAATGTGCACAACAACCTAAAGCCAATGATGATGAAATTGAAGAAGAAGGACTAGGGAGAAGTAGAGACAGACAACTTCCAAATATTTAGTCACTGAAAACCTTATGAATAGTGGTGGGACACCAGAATATTGAATATTGAGGCATGATGAAGAGCACCAGAATATTCTCAGATATAGTGCCATAAAATGAGCCCCTTAGTTTGGATAGTACTCAAAATACAATTGGAGAACTGCCTCCTCAAAGTAGAGTTGACTGTGATGATGAGAATGCAGTAAAGCGTTTGGGACCTTCATTTGCTGATTGGGGCACAACTCAAAGTGAAGAGAAACAGCTGTAAACATCAATTAATAATTGAAACAAGCAATGTAAGAAATATGAAACTTGGAAAACTGGAAACTGTCAAAAATAAAATGGAATGCATAAACATCGATATCCTAGGCATTAATGAGCTGAAATGAACTGGTATTGACCATTTTGAATCTGATAATTACATGATTATTTTATGCCAGTAATTAATAGTTGAATAGAAATGGCATCACATTCATCATCAAAAAGAACATCTCAAGATCTTTCTTGAAGTATAACACTGCCTGTGATAAGATAGCATCCATACATCAACAAGAAAGACCAGGTAATACCACTATTATTCAAATATAGGCACCAACCACTAAAGCCAGTGATAATGAAATGAAAGAATTCAACCAACTTCTTAGACCGAAATTGATGAAACATGCAATCAAGATGTGTTGATAATTCCTGGTGATTGGAATGCAAAGGTTGGAAATAAAGAGAAAGGATCAATTAGTTGGAAATTATGACCTTGGTGATAGAAATGATGCTGGAGAATGCATGATAGAATTTTCCAAGACCAATGACTTCTTCATTGAAAATACTTTCTTAAAACAACATAAAAAAAACAACAACACTATAAGCATGGAACTTACCAGATGGAATGCACAGAAGTCAAAATGATGACATCTGTGGAAAGAGATGGTGGAAAAGCTCCTTATCATCAATAAGACTAGGGGCAGACTGTGGACCCGATCATCAATTGCTGGTATGCAAGTACAGGCTGAAGCTGAAGAAAATTAAAACAAGTCCATGAAAGCCAAAATATGATCATGAATATAACCCACTTGAATTTAGAGATCATCTCAAGAACAAATTCGATTAATTAGACATTGATGACTGAAAATCCAATGAGTTATGGGATGACATCAAGAACATCATACACAAAGAAAACAAAAAGGTCATTAAGAAGACAAGAAATAAGGAGAAGACCAAAGTGGATGTCAGAAGAGATTCTGAATCTTGCTCTCCAGTGTAGAAATACTAAAGCAAATGGAAGAAATGAAGAGATAGAATAGCTGATTAGAAAATTTCCAAGGGCATCTCGAGAAGACAAAGTCAAATATTATAATGAAGTGCACCAAGATCTGGAGTTAGAAAACACCAAAAGGGAAGAACACACACTGCATTTCTCAAACTGAAAGAACTGAGGAAAAATTTAAGCCTGGACTTTTAAAACCGAAAAATTCTTTCTGCAAATTATTGAATCATGCAGAATACATCAAAAGAAGATGGAAGGAATACACAGAGTCACTGTACCATTTCAAGAAGTGGCATATGATCAAGAGTCAATGGTACAGAAGGAAGAAGTCCAAGGTGCACTGAAGGCATGGGCAAGGAACAAGGTTCTAGTACTTGATGGGATACAAAGTGAAATCTTTCAACAAATTGATGCAGCACTGGAGGCACTCATTCATCTTTGCCAAAAAATTTGGAACACAGTTACCTAACCAACCTGATTGGAAGAGATCCATATTTGTCCCCATTCCAAACAGGGGTGACCCAACAAACAGAATGTGGAAATCACTGGAGAATAGCATTAATACCAAATGCAAGTAAATTTTTGCTATACATAATATAAAAATGGCTTCAGCAGTACATTGACAGTGAGCTGCCAGATATGCAGGCCAGATTGAGAAGAGGCTATGGATCAGTAATATCATTATTGACATCAGACAGATCTTGGCTGAAAGCAGAGAATATCAGCAAGATGTTTACCTGTGCTTTTTTGCTTCCCCAAGGTTTTTTGTTTTGTAGTTCATGGAAAACTCTGGATGACATTGCAGCAAATGAGTATTCCATAACACTTGCTTGTGCTCATGAGGGACATGTAACAGAGACAAAGAGAGAGTTATTCTAACAGAACAAGGAGCACTGAGTGGTTTAAAAGTAAGTAAAGGTGTGAGCCAAGGTTGTACTCTTTCACCATATTTATTCAATCTGCATGTTAAATACATAATCTGAGAAATTGGATTATATGAAGAAGAATGTAGCATCAGGACTAGAGGGATACTCATTCATTAACAATCTGCGATGTGCAGATGATACAACCTTGCTTGCTGAAAGCAAAGAGGACTTAAAATACTTATTAATAAAGAGCAAATACCACAGCCTTCAGTATAGGTTGCATCTCAATGTAATGAAAACAAAGAGTCTTGTCATTGGATCAATAAATAGCAACAAGATAAATGGAGAAAACAATGAAGTTGTCAAAGACTTATTTTGCTTGGATCAACCATCAAAACTCATGGAAGCAGCAGTCAAGAAATTAAACAACGTATTGCATTAGGCAAATCTGCTGTACAAGACCTTTTTTAAAGTGTTTAAGAGCAAAGATGTCAATTTGAGGACTAAGGTGCCCCTGACGCAAGCCATGGTATTTTCAATAGACTAATATGCAGGTGAAAGTTAGACAATATTGAAGGATTCTATGGAGTTCTGGTGTGGTATCTTAGAATAAGCACTCCATCATAAGGTTGTGGTTCAAACTCACCAGTTATTCCTCAGAAACAGAGTCACTAAGAGTCAGAACTGACTCCATGGCACTTATTAACAACAACAACATGGGCATATTATTGAGTGATTTAGAAAGCATCCAAAGTAGAAGGAATACACAGAATTATGGTGCCAAAAATAATCAGTCTATGCTCAACCATGGGAACATTGTGGCTCCATACGATAAATATTGAATTGCGAACCACAAGGTCTGGGGTTTATGGCTGCCAGCTGCTCTACAAGAGGATGATGAGGCTTTCTGCTCCTGCAAAGATTTAAAAACTCGGAAACCCTATACTGGGTTGCTATTAGTTGGAACTGGCTGGACGGCATTTAACAACAAAAAATACCTTGCTCAATGGTTTCATGAGTAGCATATGATCATGAACTGTAGGTACTGAATGAAGAATTCCAAGTTGCACATAAGGTACTGACAAAAAACAAGGTTCTAGGAATTGAAGGAATAAAACTTGAAACCTTTCAATAAACTGATTTAGCACTGGAAGTGCTAAATTTATGACAATAAATTTGGAGCAACCTGGCCATAAGATTAGAAGAGATCCATGTTTGTGCCTATTTTGAAGAGAAGGGGACAAGGGAATACTGGAAGCTTTAAAATCAGGAAAATTGCACTCCAGGGTTTTATCCTTTCACCATACTTATTCTATCTGTATGCTGAGCAAATAATCTAAGAAACTAGATTATACAAAGAAAAATGTGGCATCAGAATTGGAGGAAGGCTTATTAATAACCCACCATATACAGATGATACAATGTGGCTTCTGGAAGTTAAGAGAACTTAAAATACTTATTGATGAAGATCAAAGACTAAAGCTTTCAGTATGTATTGCACCTCAATACAAAGAGAATAAAACATTTTGTGACTGGACTAATAAAAAACATCATAATAAATGGTAAAAAGATTGAACTCGCCAAAGACTTTATATTGCTTCTATCTATAATCAACACTCATGAAGCAGCAGTCAAGAAATCAAAAGATAAATTGCATTAAACAGATCTGTTGCAAAAGAACTCTTCAAAGTTGTAAAGAGCAAAGATGTCCATTTGAGGACTAAGGTGAACCTGACCCTGTTGTTGTTGTTAAGTGACTTCTCGTCAGTTCTGACTCTTAGCAACCTGGTATAGAGTTTCTGAGGAGCAGCTAGTGAGTTTTAGCCACTAACCTTGGAGTTCAAAAGACCTTTCTCTCCAGTATTTATCCTACAGGGCCACATCAATGTTGCATGGTATGCCTAAACACCTGGATAACATGCCCAAATTTGAGAGACAAAATCTCACCATCCTGTCTTCTAAGGAGCGTTCTGATTGCATTTCTTCCAAGATAAATTAATTTGTTCTTCTGGCAGTCCTTGATACTTTTAATATTCTTCTCTAATGCCATAGTTCAAATGTATTGGTTCTTCATGGTCTTTCCTATTCATTTTCCAACTTTCACATGCATATGAAGCAAATGAAAATACCATGGCTAGCAACAGGTCAGGGACTGGGCAGTGCTTCCTTGGGTTGTGAGCAGGGTCACTTTTAGTCTGAACTGACTGGGCAGCACCTACCAACACCAACAACTACAGCTCCATGGTGAACTTTGTGTCTTGATAGGTATCTTCTCCCATCTCTGCCTTTTTGCTCTCTTGCTCAGTCTCTGGTAATCTCAAAAAGAGATTGACTGAAACTGTACTGTATACTAACCCTGTCTATTAACATAACCAAGACAACCCATTCCCAAATAAGATTCCAACCACAGGCATAGAAGTTAGGATTTACAACACATATTACGAATCGGGCTGTGAACCTTAAGGTCAGCTGTTTGAAACTACCAGCCGCTCCGCGGGATAAAGATAAGGCTTTCTGCTCCCGTAAAGATTTACAGCCTCAGAAACCCTGTACAGGGTTGCTATGGGTCGGAACCGACTCAGCGGCACTTAACAACAACAACAACATTTTGAGGAGACATAATTTAATCCTCAGCACTATATAAAGAAAAATTGTCTTCAAGCCTGTACTTTATATGATTATTCTTTGTAAAATGTTTGGTTTCTTTTCTGAACTTTTAGCAGGACATTTAGTAAAAGACTTATGAAGTTGTTACTTTTACTTGGAGAGATAGTTCTGCTGCACAATGCATATCAGTAAATTGAAAAGACAGAATTTAATAATCCCTCATTTCTTCTTATACTGAAAGTTAATTCCATTACTTGAATTAATTAAGCTAATAAATTACAATGCTTTGCATTAATAGAATTTTACCCAATGTGAATTCAATTTTTAAAATAGAATATTGAGAAGTGTCTTTCTTGAAATTGAATCTAGATAGTTAATAAAAGCATATTTTAATTTGCATCAATTTACCACTTGCCAATTTATAAGAGACATGAATTGTACCACCAAGTGCTTCAGAAAAGTAATCTGTTGTTTTTATTTAGTATTGACAACCTGAAATTCTTTGAAAAGGAAGGGAGGACTCCTTCAAAAGGGATTAGAATATATAAAAAAATAAAACTTTTAAAATTGTGAATCCCTTTGACTGGTTTAAAGTCTCATGTTTCAGTAAATGGGTAACTGTTACTCTGTCTTTCTTAGGGAGAAAACCATTTAGAAGTATTTCTTGATTTCTAATACCACTTAAATAAAAACCAAACCAAAGAAGGAAAAGCAATTTTTTGCAGGGGGAAAAAAAGAGAAGCAAATACTTCACCGCTAATTTGTTGTTGTTGTTGTTATTATAACAAAGGTGTCATTATAACAAATGAAACTGACCATATACTCTTATTTTATAGAAGAATATGCATTTAATATTAAAAGTATAAGAAGAACATACTAATAGAATAAAACATAATCCTTTAACTGTATAAATGCCATGAAAATGTCACCATCATATTATTTTCTCTTCACTTTTGGATCAGTAAAACGTTAATCACACTAAACACTGGTCCATAATCCAGAGTCTAGAAACTGCTGGTTTTGACTTTGTTTTGTATAGGAAATGATGAGTTCTATTAAGCAACAGGGTAAAATAATATATGTTATTTAGTGCTGTACTTGGGCAGATAATGCAAGACTCCACAAATTTGAATTCTATAACTTCCTCTCTGTACTCCCATACTATCTGTCTTCCAAACCTCACTCATTTATATGTTAGAGTTTCCATCTATTCCCTCTCTCCTGCCTCAAATAAAATAAAAGAGAATAAAATAACTATATAATTGCTGTCATTAATTTTGATTTTGGCATATCTTAACTGCTATCCACATAGTCCTAATTTACTGTACACAAAAGAGATGATTTATCTGGCAATCTATTCATTGGGATTGTATTAACCAGCCAATGTAATGATGGATGTTCTTAATGATGACCCTGAGGCTCTGCAAATTTCTGAAGTGCCTTCTGAATCACCAATGAAAGACACAGCCAGAGACCATAAAAATCTTCCCATTGGTTCCACTGTGACTTTATTTTTTGGGAGAGTAAGAATGATGAGATTTTTTTCATTAAAAAGGAGGTATGGTGTATTGGGTATGTGGAAAATTATGTCCCTAGTCTGAAACAGCCCGCTCACATCTACCTACCTCCAATGACTTCAGCCTATGTTGTATTGATTAGAAGATAAATGAAGAGTTGAAACCTGGTTCTGTACATTGTGTATTGATCTTTCAACGTATTTTCAGTTCTGCTGGAAAAGATACTGAAATTTCATCTTGGATGACACTTTCTGAGAGCAGTACAGATGAGGCTGAAGAGGATTTTCTTGATAAGCAACATGTCATCACACTACCATGATCAAATAATACTTAATGGTCATTTGTTTGAGTCTATCTTTTGTTGTTTTTCCATTTGTACCCAGAGAAAAGGAAACAACTAATAAAAAGTAACCAAGTGATTACCTGTCAAGGTGCCGGGGATTTTGATTATTAATGTCTCTGATATTTCAAGGCTTTCAGACTAATAAAACTTAGTGAAATTATAAGTTTCAGAGATTTTTCTTTCAAATGATATATTGTATGTCAAACACAAATCTATACTGCAGATCATATTAATAAAATTTGGTGAATTTTATGAAATAACAGTTATACTTATGTATATAGAACCTGCCATAGGATTGAACATGATTACATTTTAAGTAATATTGTTATATTTTAAATAATGATGTCATCAACAACAGTCTACATTTGACTGCCAAGTCACATTTATTAATACCATCATTTTATCCTGCAATCCATTTTTAACTTTGGTAATTACAGTGAATGTGTGTTGTTCTTAGTGTGTTTTTGAGGTTTATAGGAATTCTAATAGCTTTAAAAGTTGCTGCTAGAAAGACAAAAAAAAAAAAAATCTAAAATAAAATTGGGCAAGTGGTTGATTTTTATTAGCTATCATTTGAGCAAGTTCTGATTCATAGCAACCCAAGATTGATATTGAAGTCACTTAACTAAATAAAAAAAGGTAACAAGTATATTTTTCAAATATGTGTTATTTGGTGCTGTCAAGTTGGTTCGAACTTATAGGGAATCCATATATTGTTTATTGAGACACTGCCTGGTCCTTCGCACACTTCACATTCTCATAGCCATTGCCGCTTGAAGCACAATCCATCTTGTTGAGGGTCTTCATCTTTTTTTGCTAATCCGCTACTTTATATGCATGAAGTCCTTTTCCAGTGACTGTAGACCCTCATGGCAATGTGTCAAACAAATTTGTGAGATGAAATCTTACCAGCCTTGCTTCTAAGGAGCATTCTGGCTGTTCTTCTTCCAAGATAGATGTGTTTGTTCTACTGGCAGTCTTTAGTACTTTCAATGTTCTTCTCCAACACCATAATTGAAATACATCAATTCATCTATAGCCTTTCTTACTCATTTTATTGTCCAACCTTTATGTGCATACAAGGTAACTGAAAACACCATGGCTTGGGTCAGACTCACCAGAGTCCTCAAAGTGACACCTTTGCTCTTTAACATTTTCAAGAGGTCTTTTGCATCAGATTTGCTCAATGCAATACATAATTTGATTTCTTGACAGCTGCTTCCATGAGTATCATGGATCCAAGTAAAATGAAATCTTTGAGAACTTCAATCTTTTCTGTTTATAGTGATGTTTTATACTGGTCTAGTTATGGGGATATTTGTTTCTTTATGTTGAGGTGTAGTTGATACTTGGCACTAGCCTCAATATTGTTGTTACGTTTTAGTCCATCCATTGTTTGTTTATTTTTGATGCTTTCTCCATGTCATCAATAAAGTATAGTGATGTTTACACACATCATCATCTGACAGGCTTGGAAAATGCTGATGAAAAGACTTACAGAATTTATATGTATTTCAATATAAAAAGGACCTTAAACTGATTAATACATGTGGACCTTAAGCAATCAGCAAAGCCAATCATACTTTCAGAATAAAAATGTTCAGAGTAAATTACAGAATTGTGACTCTTCAGTGATTTTTTACTGTCCTTTTAGAACTTTCCACCACAATGCCATAAAAAGATGATGATGAGCCACCCTTTCATCTTGTCAAATCTCTCCTGGCCTCTAATCTCAAGGCTACTGACTTTTTAAACTTTAGTATCTATAGTTAAAATGTGGCTTGGCCACACATCTGTTACCATAGTAACATACATTATTTTTCCTTCCAGCATATCTGATCAGCTTTAAAGGTTCTTCTCTCTGCCCTCATTTGCTCTAAGACATTTTCCTTTTCTATTCCAATGAAAAGGCTAATGATTCCTTCAATTTATAATACTCCTGTATATTTCTCCAAGTACATGGTAGTGTTGTCCTATTCTTGTTAGGAAAGGAGTAGACTCCTATTATTCCAATGTTTATTCAGTCATAGTTTCCGTCTCTTATGGACTAGCTCAGAAAAAGAGTTTATAAGATGTCAATACCATTTATAATGTAAGAACTTTGAAATGAAAATTAACGTGACAATTGTCATCAACTATATATTTTTAATCACAAATACATTACTTTGTGCCACTGACTTTGTCATTTAATTTCTAATTTGACTTTGAAATGAAACATGAGGTACCTCTGTGAATTGCAGAGTGGGCCCCCTTCTGCCTTTATTTGCTTTACATAATCACATGTTCAAAAAAGTTTTTAAAATTCCATTGTCATTGGTCTAATGAGGAAATAAAAACTAAGATTAGGGCCTTTGCCTGAAGCAGCTTCAATGCTCTTTCAGTTTGAAACTTAAGCTCATAATCATTATTAAAGGCCTGCACCTAGTTCTGAGTTTGGATTGAGAGAGTTACAGATATTCAAGAGAAATTCCAAACCTATTACTAATAATGTTAGTCTAGTGTGTTTTTAGCAAATATTGGATAAATGACCACATGGTCTCATATGTGTGTTGAATTTCATAATTTGTATTCACATTTGCTTTATGAAATTCTATAGCTCTGGAGAAGGGGGAAAAAGTGGCGTTACATTTGGTTTCATGTTTTTAATATGTTGTTTAATATTCATGGAAGTCATTTCTCATCTAGTGCATTCTGTAGGTATCACAGAATTGAGGCCATTGTTACTTGTTACACTTTGGACCACCAATTAGTGCTTTGCCTTACGCATGAGAGGTACTTGGGAAAGATTTCTTAAATGAATATTATAAAGTGGTTTTATCCCTGTACTAGAGTATTTAATAGTGTATTTAATAGAATATTTAATAGTGCCTTTATTAAAAAATAAACAAAAAATAAAGACCTCTCTGCCCTTATGATCCAATTATTGGACAGATCTTGAGCAATGTGCATGTCATCCTGGCTTTAGACACAGGCTGTTTCTCATCTGAGGTCTAAAATGTATCTTCTCAAAGAGGCGTTCTCTAATCTTGACCTGAATTAATTTATTATGTGCCTTTTTCTTTATTTTTTCTCATGGCATCTTGTTTTATAGAACTTCTTAATATACTTATATTGTTGTAAAGATATAGCTTTGCAATTAGGTCATACATTTTAATTTATAAATTTACAAATTGTATCTATTTTGCTTATCACTATAAACTCAGTCCATAGCGTGTGTACGCACACACACACACATACACACATATATATATATTATATATATATTATATAGATATAGATATAGATAGTGATCATTAGTAAGTGAATGAATGAATGAGTCCTTGAATGAATGAATGAACAGGATCTGTTAAGTCAACTCAGAATGTATAGGGTCCCACTGATGAGCCATCTCCCTTTCCCAAAGGAGACAATAGGAAATATGTTCTGAGAAAGCACTGTTTCTTTCAGGAATCAGGTCACACTACTGCCTAGAAGATCGCATATTTCAATGTATTTTTTCATCATGAAATGAAGAAAACAATAGATACTTTACTTAGCTCAAAAAATGTGGTGAGATCAAATGCAACAGTGAATATAAAATTATTCTAAAGAACTGTAAAGTGATCTGTCTTGTTTATCATCATCATTTTATAACAAGCTCATTGAATATAGAGATAAATTGTTGTTGCTATTAGGTGCTGTTAAGTCAGTTCCGACTCATAGCGACACTGTGTAGGGTTTCCAAGGTGCAACTGGTGGGTTTAAACTATTGACCTTGTGATTCGCAGTCCAATGCTGATCTGATCCTACAGTGTCATGTCAGCAGTCCAGAACTAGATTGATGAATATTAATTAGCGATTTTAGATTGAGTTGATATGAATAATCTGCAAAAATCACTCAATTTCTAAAGTAGAGAGTGCTTTTCAACTCATTGGTGAATTAGACTGAGGGACATATAAAGCTGGTGCTGTTGTTGCAGACTAGCTCTCTAAATTTGTCCTATTAAAAATCTTTCTGAACGTTTTACTGAAGATGGCATCGAAAGTGAAGGAAGCCTTTGCCCCTCCCAAAGCTGAAGCCAAAGCAAAGGTGTTGAAGGCCAAGAAGGCAGTGATGAAAGGCATCTGCAGGCACACAAAAAAAGAGAAGATCCATATATCGCCCACCTTCTGGTGGCCCAAGACTGTGAGGCTCCAAAGGCAGCCCAGATACCTTTGGAAGAGCGCCCCCAGGAGGAACAAGCTTGACCACTATGCCATCATCAAGTTCCCTCTGACTACTGAGTCAGCCATGGAGAAGATTGAAGATTGAAGATAATTGTGTTCACTGTGAATGTCAAGGCCAACAAGCACCAGATTAGACAGGTTGTGAAGAAACTCTATGACACTGACGTAGCCAAGGTCACCACCTTGATCAAGCCTGATAAAGAAAAGAAGGCATATGTTTGACCGTCTCCTGACTATGATGCTTTGGATGTTGCCAACAAAATTGGGATCATCTAAATTGAGTCCAGCTGGCTAATTCTAAATATAAATTTCTTCAATACCAAAAAAAAAAAAACCACACACACACACACACACACACACTAAACTTTCTGAAACAATCTTTCCTGTGTTTATGCCTTTTTCCTATCATGTTTCTAAAAGTTAAATTTTAAGTTTTTAAAATGTTAAAAATACTTAAGCACTTTACTAAAACCCTGGGCTTCGTACTTCCAAAGAGAAAAAAAATTAAAAACATACTAGTTATACCTCTCCAAATCTGTTTTTATAGGATATCGGTTTCATTATAATTTTCATCCCTAGTTATTTATTACTAGCCACATTTGCATAAAAACAATCTTTATTTCCTCAGAGTTCATCTGTGCCTGTAGTTTATCCCCCATATAAAGTCATAATTCTTTGTTAGTGACACCCTGATTGTTTGCTAGGTAAATGATTATGATGTTGCAAACAGGATTATGACTTTAGCTGAGGTATAATCAGCAAGCATAGATGAACTCTAAGGAAAT